GGGGGGGGGGGGGAAATGGAACACTTCATAGTTTATGTGGGGTTTTTTTGGTTTAATTTGCACAAAGAAATGGAGGAAGGATAAATCAGAAACTGCAGCAGGTTGGTGGGAATGGAGTGAAAGACTGGAGAAGGACACTTTTCGGAGTGCATGCTTATGTCCAAAAGATTGGACTTTTGGGGACTCTGTTAATGTTCTATGGATTGAAAAAAACAAATCAATGAAGATGAGGGAAACTCCCTGAAAGTGAACTATAAACAGGAACAAATGAACTTCCCTGTATTTCAAATGCATAACAGCCACACTGAAGAGAAATAAATAGCTCATCCAAATAACATTTGAACCTGTGCTCAAACTGCTGCTTTGACCATTGACCCTCAGTCTAGAGGGTGGTCATGAATAAGATTCAATACATCTGGAGCTTAGGTTTGTTTTTCATAATGGCACAGGTGTGGCAATTCTGAAGCCCCTTTTCACATGGGATTTAGTGATAAGTAAATATATTAAGGTTGATGGAAACCAAGATTCTGACTGTTAGAGAAAAGAGATATTTTAAATATGTATTTGAGGAAGAATGGAAGAGCCCTGTGGTGTTGGATTAGAATTGAAGAAATAGATATAGACAGACAGATGTGTTAATTTATTTACATACACGTATTTCCTGGCTCTCTTTACTACAAGAACTTACAAGCAATGACACCCCAGAACTAAGGAGCATACCTACTGCCCAAATCTGGGATGCTAAATACCATTTCCTGCTCTAGGGAACCAGGGCTCCTTGGAGAAATGGCTGACTTGGGTTTGTGTGAGATGAGCCTGGAACATCTTGTGATGCCAGAAAGTAAGGAAGTGCTCAGAAAATGACATAGATCCAGGAATCAGTTTGAAGGGCCTTCTGCTGGCAAAATCTGGGGCATTTTGAAGATCAGGATAATTATAGTAATGGATTATAACCTAATGCATAAAATAAGAATCCACAAGTCCATATGGATAATAAAGAAAGAAAAAGGACTAGTATCAATAAATATAAAAGAAATGGTGGGATTAGATAACTGTCATTTGCAACCATCTTACCAAAAATTGATTTAAGTCATTGATTCCAGGTAAAAGTCACCAGTGGATGTTAAAGCTAGTGGGTGAAAGTCCAGGAAAAATGGGACACTTATACCTCAAAATATTTTCCCACAGATTACTGATTAATTACAAATAGGAGAAATGGTAATTTTCCAGTGGAGAAACCTGGTGGTCACCACCTTAAGAGATCAAAATTAACATCACCTAGAATGGGACATGTCCCTCTGGATATAATGCACCGAAGACACATCACATAGGTCACGTCCCTGCTCAAACTGCACTACCCAAATCTGATCATGACAAAACATCAGACAAACCCAAATTTTGAGTTAGTCTGTAAAACAACTGGCCCATCCCCTTCACGAGTGTCAAGAATGTCAAAGTCATGAAGGGACAAGAAGGGCTGAGGAATGGCTTCAGACTGAAAGAGACGGATGAGACACAACAACTAAATGCAGTGTGAGACCCCAGACTGGATCCTGATTGCTCTCTAGTACCTGCACCCCATTTGTGGACAGGGTTACCTGGGGGTGGCTGTCATTCCTTTCATGATTGTACAACAGTATTCCATGGATATGTGCTGAACTTAATAATATTCAGATGTAAGATACATACGGATGCTTGGTCCCAAGACAGGAATGCTTGATTTGCCTGGCTGTGTCTGGGCCAAATGAGTCCCCAGATGCCCAGGTGAGTCTCCAGATGCCCAACAGTTTTGAATCCCCCTTTGAAGGCTCAATGATCAGGAGGCTAGTTGTTGCAGACTTGGATGTAGATCGACCTGTGCGTGTGTGTGTGTGTGTGTGTGTGTGCGCATGCGTGTGCATCCCACATCAACCTTGTGAGTGCTTGCTCCCTGGAGTGGGCTGGTGCAGCTGTGCGGTGTAGTGGGTTCCCAACAAGAGAAAAGGAGGCCTGGGCCTGGTGCAGCTGCGGCACAGACAAGCAGAGGCCAGGGAGTGAGCAGATACAATATTTAATAAGCTTGCTGTGCATGCTTGAAGTTTAGCCTACCCTGGTGCTCACACCTCTCGGACAGACAAGCTGGGCCAGGGTGGACAGCCCAGGTGGATCTGGGATTCTGCCCACTCTCAGTCTGTGCTCCTCTAACTTGAATGGGCTGCTGTATCTGTGCCCCAGTAATAATGGCAGCCCATCATGCCCATCACCTTAGGAGGTGAGACTCTGGGGCCACGGCCATGCCAGGGCTAGCAAGGATTGGAGGGAGGGGGGGATCACTGTCTGGGACACAAGAGGGAGATCTGGGGGCAAGAAGGGGTGATATGGGGGATGGGCAGGAAGGTTGAGATGATGGTCTAGCGGCCAGCAGGTCCTGGGGCAAGGGTAGGGGGACAGCTCAGAGATGAACCTCTAGCAGGTAGCGCAGGCGACACTGGCTCTCTTGGTAGATGAGATATTCGCTCTGGGAGAAGGTGGAGCTGCTGAACTCTGCGCAGGGCACGGGCTGGCCCTGGGGCACTGCCACTCGCTGTCCATCCAGCTCCAGCTCGGTGTCCTTGGCTGGATCTGCAGGGCACAGCAAGGGCCATGGGTGACTCAAGGGTCACTGGTCCTTGGCTTTACCAGTAAGTTCTGCCTCCTATGCTCTCCACTTCTGCCACAGGGAACACCTGCTCATTCCCCCCCCTTGCAATCTCCAAGCCACTGCACAGGCCGGGCCTTCTGCCTGGAGTATCCTCCCCATTTCTCTGCCTGGGAAATGCCTACTTATATCTTTCAATGCTCAATGACACCTTTTCGTTGAAGCCCTCCTGGATGCCCAGGAATATGTTCAATCAGCAAATGTTTGTCGAATGACAAAGTGAATGACCATAGTGAAGAAGCCTACTGCTTTTTGTCCCTCTCCTCAGCTCCTTCCCTGCCCACCTCCTGGGCCCACCATGCCCTGAAAGCATCCTGGTCCCCTAGCTCAGCCCCAGGTCTCTATCCTCAGGCCTGTCTAGCTTTTCAGGACTCACCAGGCTCTGTGTGGCCTCGGGCAATGACACTGTCGAAGCCAGGGGGTGGCTGCTTCAAGCTGGGCTCGTCGATGGTGATGTGGTACTCTCTGCCCAGTGCCACCTCACCCAGGAACATGTAGCCAATTTGGTGGGCTCCGCAGGACATGCCAGTAACTGGGGGACACAGGGAAGAAGCTTGGCCCTCCTACCTGACTCCCTGGTCCCCTTCTGCTGCATCCTTATCTCCTCTGGCTTTGTTGACCGAGCCAAGGAAAGTGCCCACTCTTCCTGCATCCTTAAAAACACCGCTTGTCCTGGCTGTGCTCCCCCCCACCCCTTACCCCACTCTTCTGATCCCTGAGAGCAGGTATATGCAGCCCCTTCTACCCGACACCAACGTCAGCAAGGGGCTCCCAGTGACCAAATCCAGGGTGGAGGCCTTTTCTCTCTGGCCTGTTCTGTTGATTTTACCACTGGCATCCTCCACCCCCTAGCCTAGGACCCCATTGCCCTGGCTCTGCTGAGGCTACCCTCTACTCCTTCATAGGCTCTTCTGCCCTCCTGGTGGTCCCCTTGGCCTTGAGCAACCTCAGACATCCAAGAACATCAGCCCCATCCAACCTTGCTCTCTTGGATCAGTGGGTGGTGGTGGTCTCCAATGATGGGCTGGCCGGGGAGCCAGTCTGGGGAGGTCTCCTCAGTGAGGACACCTCTGGACAGAAACTTGGGGGTCATCAGAGATACTTCAACCCTGTCACACATGCTGCCCATCCCACCTCCCGCACATCCCTCTCACGGATTCTTTCTTCCCCCACCTCCACTGCCTGGGTTGTGTGCCCATCACATCTGGCCTGGGTAAGAACATGGCCTCCCTATGCTCTGGCCTCAGTCGCTCTCCCTGAGGCTGTAGCCACTGAGATGCTGCTGCTATACCAAGTCTGGTGAGGGTCCCATCACTATCTGGATAAAGCTCCCTTGATCTTCCAGGCCCCAGCCCTCCCGCCCACACAAGGCATTTGCTTGGAGCCTTATCATCAGGCTGTGCTTGGAGGTCCTGATATGGTGTGCGTAGCCTCCCAGCCTGTGTGCCACTTCCTAGTTTCTTTACCTCCAAACCTCCTCTTTCACTGCACTCCCCTCCACATCTGGCTGGCACGCTCATCCTATCTGCATCACCTGCTCCAGGAAGAGATGCTGCCTGGGGCTGTCTGACCTGTCTGTGACCACTGGCCCCTCCACGGAGTCCCCATAGGACTCAGGATGCCCCGCTGAGCACTCTCGTCAGTAGCTATTCAAGGTTTCCTCTTTTGGGCGAGCACTGGGCCTGGTCCTCCCTGGTGTCCTGCATCTGCCCAGGTGGCCCCCGGGGGTATCTCACCATAGCCCGCTGACTTGCTATTCTCTGAGGCGAAGTAGATGCCCTTGCCAACGCGGCCACCAGAATGTGGCATGATGCGAAGCCCACTGGTGAGGATGGCGGCCACCACAGCCACATTGGTGCCATGCCACAGTAGCCTCCGATTACCCAGCTTGGCGTGGGCCTGGAACCTATCTCCCTGGGGGAAAGGAGGTGGGAACAGGAAAGGTCATGCTATCCAAGCTCAGGTGCTTCTCCCTGATGCTCAGAGAGCACCACCAAGGCCAAAGGCCCCTCTGGCCAATCACATCCACTCATGTACACGTGCACAAGACCTGGGTCTGAGGGAAACTGACAAGTTGTTAAGCTGACTCACTAATGGGCACATAAACTAAGGTCATCTCCTTCAGAGTCAGATAGTGATAGGGGAGTGGGTTGGGAGGAATCTCTCTTACCTCCCCTTCTCGGTTTACTTTCCAAACATGTTGAAGAACAGGGCACCTGTAGGTGTTGCCAGTCTGTTCTAAGTAGGTATGTATTACCTGCAAGGAAAGCAGATGCTGGATGCCGAGGCCGACAGATGTGTGGACAAACCTCCACTGGTGCCCCAGTCCCAGAACTCTCTTTGGGCCCTTCAGACACAGGGAGAGAAGGCCAAGGCCAAGGCCAAGGCCAAGGGATTCCTCTGCACACCAGGAGGGCAGATGGGTAGAGGGACAGTGCTTGCTATTAGCCAGGCTCCTCTGTGGGACCTGGCCCACCTTGTACTCGGGTGCCTCGGAGTCGAGCAGCTGGAGCTGGCACTTAAGGAGCTGGTAGTCTCGGTCCAGTGGGTGTGGCACCTCCTTCACCTTCTCCTCTTCAGGGGCTGCCTGCAGGGTCTGAGCCAGCTCGATGTCTGCCAGCACCTAAAGTGATGGGCACTGGCAGCTTGTCTGTCCACTTGACTCCCAGCCTCCTCCCTCCCACATGACTGGGACCATGGTCACCCCACCTGTGCACCCCCATACCATCTATCTGCCTGGCCTTCCCCTCCCCTGTCCTTCAACCTACCCATTCAGTCCACCTATCTGGGCCTTCTTGGCCATCTGTCCTCCATCTCCCTTGCCCAGTCTCTCTGTCTGCCCCACTGCCCACCCACTTGCCAACCCTCACCAGCAGCATGTCCTTTTTGGCCTGCAGAAGCTCAGGGGAGTTGATAGATGGGGGCCGATTGCGGCCAAAGTTGTGGGGAATGACAGTGTAGAAGTGGGAGGATAGCTTCTCCAGGCTGAGGCCACCATCCGTAGGGTCTTTGAGGGCTGCCTCCAGTGCCTCCAGAGCCTCGAAGCCCTGTGCAATTTGCTGCTTGCTCAACTTCCCTAGGGGCATCTTCTTCACATCTAGGAGGTGGGGAAAGTCAGGGAGACTCAGTCTCATGGCCTTGCAGCCCCCAGGCCCCTGCAACCCTGTCCGGCCTCTCTCCCCTCACCCAGGTTCATGAGGGTCATGGCATTCTTGAACATGTCTTTGCTGAAGATGTTGGTGATGAGCTTCTGTGTAGCTGCGTCCAGGGAGCAGGGTCGCACCTGCTGAACCATGGTCCTTACTGGGCCTCCAACCATCTAGAGGTAGAGGGCACAAATGAGCAGGAGTAGCTGGGCACAGCCAGAGAAGAACCTGGCATTAAACAGAGACTGGCCAGGTTGAGACCAGAGAAGAGAGGTCTATGCCTGAGGCCACAAAGCTGGACAGTGGCAGAACACAACTGGCTGGGTCTCTCCATCTAGTCCCCTCCCTCAACGCAAGGCCCACCACCCTCCCTGGCCACTTCACCTTCACCATGGCTTCCTGGGCCTCGTCCTCTCCCCGTACTTCAATAAGCATGTACTTGCCCGGGTGGGCCACAAAATGGTCCCGATCCACCCAGCTGTTCTTGGTCTTGTCCCGAAACTTCTTCTCAAAGTCCTTTTTTGCATCCTCCAGTAACACGAAATAGCTGAGCTTTGACTGGCCCACTTCTCCCTGCAACCAACAACCTTCAGGGGTGTGCCTGCGACAGTACCCACTGTGGACATTAGTTGCCCTCTGCTGTGCCAAGAGCCCCTGGGTAGTCAGAAGTGGGGAGGGGGTGTGGTCAGCAGCTGAGTAAGTTGTGGGGACCCTGGGGGAGTAGGGGGCATGTATTGTAAAGGGAGAGGTGGGGAGGAGGTGGGCACAGGGTGGGAAGGTGGCACTCACCACACGACCCCAGCGGTTCCAGCAGGCGAAGCGGTCACCATCTTCCAGCAGCTGGATGATGTAGAATTTGTTGTTGTTGCTCCCGATGTTGGTCTGGTTCAGGGTGCAGGCGTAGTCTTCATGCACCTGGGGCCAGAGGGGGCATAGGGAAGGCAGGCTGGCTTGGGCTGCCCTTGAATGAGACAGGGTACCCAGCTGCACAATGACAGGGGTCTGATGGGGAAGGAGTCATGCTGCACTGGGGCATCGGAGGAGGCCCTGTCAGGGAAGGCTTGAGGAGGTCACGGTTCTGCCCTGGGGGACACAGACTGAGGGGACATGACTCAACCCAGGCAGTTGGGGGGAGTTCTGGGAGGACATGGCTGTGCCCTGTGTCAGGGAATCAGAGAGAGACATTGGTTCTGCCCTGGGGGGTTGACAGGGACATGACCCTGCCATGCAAGGGATCTCAGGGGACATGGCTCTGTGGGGCTGCTTTAGGGGACATAGTGAGCCCTGGGAAGACTGAGGGGTCACAGCCCTGCCTTAAGTGTGGCAGGGGGAGGCCTAAGAAGCTCAGGGGTCTGCTCTGGGGTCTGAAGAACAGACATGACCTGCCTGGATCTGATGGTATATAACCCTACATGACCTTTGGGGTCTTGAGGGAACATAGCTTACTTGGGACCTTGACCTATCAGGCCAGAACCAAGCCCCAGTGGGAAGCAGAGTAGGTCTGAGTGTATTTATACCTAGGAAGGAGTAGGCTCCAAGACTGGATGGGGCCTACAGCTTACCTGAGTCCTGGGACTGTGGCTGAGTGGGCATGCTGGATCCACTCGGACTATGTGCTTCTCCGTGGGTGCAGCTCTGAGAGCCTTGGCAGTGGAGCGGAAGCTGTCCTCCTCCTCTGCCCCCTGACGCCCCTTCTTTTTTTCAGGACCCGCATGTTGCACCGGGGGCTTGCGCTTTGGAGCCATGGCTCTTCTGGGGCACAGAGGGGTCCCTCAGGGCTTCATGGACTCTGCATTCCACCTGGCTGGCACAGCACCAGCTTGCCCCACTTTGGGTTTGCCCTTTGGTGTTCTGCCCCCAACCCCGCACCCTCAAGCCACTGTCTCCCCCTGCTTCCATTTCCCCATTCCCAGACTCAGACCAAAACCAGCTCTCTGTACCAGTCACCTTTCCCTTTTCCCATTCAGAGGGGCCAGGCCAGGACCCTGTACAGTCTGCCCGGGGTCAAGGAAGAGTGGTTCCCTATCCTCTAGCAATCCAGTATGTCCTGATGAGGGAGGGAAAGTGAAAGGAGAATCTCCTTCCTCTTGCTTCTGGGCTCCTCCTCCCTTCAGAGCACTCCCTGGGTACTGCTTGCTCCTCCCCTGTCTCAGCTGACTCAGACGGGCCTGACATGGTTGCTAGGCTGAGTCACCCAACTATGGAGGACAGTGGGCAGTAGTAGCTCCCCAGGGCCACACTCCTGGGGCCAGATGTGTCCCTCCAGAACGTGCGACCCAGGGGCCCAGAAACCATTCATTCCCAAGGGGTTCAAAAGTTCTGGGGTGCCAGTCAGGGTGTGAGATCAGTGGCCTTGAACTGCCAGAGGGCAAGGGCCAGTCCCACCCATCCCTGCCCTGCCCTGTGGAGGGCTGTGGGCTGGATCATAGGGCACTCACCTAGGAGAAAGAAGCCGTGACCTGGCGGCTAGTGGTGGCCTAGTGGCGGCCACTAGGTCTACTATCAGGACCCCCACAGCAGTTCCAGTTCTAGGGCCTTGTCTAGCAACCCTCTGTAACCTTAGGTGTGACTTGGAGAGTGATTTCCCTACAATCGCCAGAGGGTGGGGGCAGGGGCAACACAGGAGTGGGGGGTGTGGTTTTCTAGCTATCTGGCCACCAATCAAGTGAGTCAGAGGCTGGGCAGGAGGAGGCCGGCAGCCTGTCCCACGGACCCATGGACACTTGATAGGGATACAGCCAAGGCCTAAGGGACTGACGCATCCTGAGCGCCGCTTGTCTGGCCAGAAGTGCGCAGTACAAGTCTGCCGGTTGCCAATGACCTTGGACCCTGGTGCAGGCACTGCCTACCTCTTCTCGAGGCTGCCTAGATTCCCCGGGTTATCTAGTGCCAGGCTGGTTCGTTCTTGCCCCCGCCCCCGACGGGGAGGAGTCACGTTCCGAGACGTGAAACCCTGCATCTCTGACACCTCCCAGCGTTCAAGGGCCGCAAACACAGAGAAAGCCCGTCTCTTCCGACCCGCCCTTGGACGTCAGCCTGAAGCAGGGCGCACGCGCCACTGCCTTGTGCCGGAAGCGCCCGGAGAGGCTTGCTACCTACTGGAGACTGGCGCGGGAGCCTGTAGGAACTGTTGGAGGCGTGGCCACAAGCGTTTACCCTATGGGCGCTTGGGGGGCGTGGCAGAGTTTACAGAAGGACCCAATGGAGCTGTGGGAGGCGGGGCCCACCGGGCAATGGGAGCCTATCCGGGCCCGGAGTCTTGCCAGACCGCCTGGGTTTAGCAGCCACGTGAGTTCTCCGTGGCGGTCCTTACACGCAAGGTGGGCAGCATGTCGGCGGCAGCGGCGGCTCGAAAACGCGGAAGGTCGGCCTCGGGGGCCGGGGCCGGTGCAGGGGCCGGCAAGCGGCGGCGGAAGGTGAGTCTGGCTCTTCTGCAGGCCAGAGTCAGTCCCGTTACTGGGACCACCGTCATCTCCTACGGACATCCTGGCCCCCGGCCCCTCCGTGGCCCTTTTTTCGGGATTCCAGCTGGAGTCAGCTTCGTCCCTCTCTCCGCGGGCCAAATCCTGGAAGGCCTTGCACTTGAGCCGGGGGGCCACCGCCTTTCCTAGTCCCGCGGCTCTCGAGGGATCGGAAAGGGCTCTTGCACAGTGCCGGGGTGGTTGGGACCCTTGACCAACGAAAGGATTATTTAATTCTCAGGCAGATTCTGCCGGGGAGAAGGGCAAGTCCAAGGGAGGCGGCAAGATGAATGAGGAGATCTCCAGCGACTCCGAGAGTGAGAGGTGAGCTCTCTTCCACTGGGGGAAGGGGACACTGAGGCCCATGGTGTATGGAAGACTCAGTGAGTGTGGGCAGAGCTGGGCCTAGAACCCAGGTTTCCCGCCTTTTTGGCTCTTAGATCTTGGCTCTTTCCTCCAGTTCTAACCCTGATGAGTAGGTCTCATCTTGAGGAGATTGAGAAGTCTCATCTCCTTCCCTGCAGGGTCCCAATGCGAGACCAGTGAGAGTTCCCTCATTGGCAGGGACCTGAGCACAGGCTGGACTGGCTGATAAGGGAAGTGGAATGCAAGAAATGCTTGCTAGTTCTTCATCTGCTTTCCCACAATTTTACAATTGCTGCTCTCCCCGCTGACTCTCAACATACGCCAGGTACTGGCTTTACTGTTGAGAATAGAGATCAGCAGGCAGGTGAAGACAAAACGTGTTGTAATAGGATGTGTATTCTACAGCTCTGTGTTCTGGAGACAGGTGAGGGAACATTTAAATAGGGCCTGGAGAGATGAAGAGGAGTCCCTCATGTAGAGGTAGGGAGGACACTCAGGGATCAGAGAAAAGTCTAAGGCTTTTTGTATGTAAATTGTCAAATTTGTATGTAAAACTGCCAGACTGGGAGATGGAGAGGATGGAAAGGTAGGTGTTGGCTGCATCCAGATTGTGGAGGGCTTTTATTGTTTATTTATTTATTTTTCTTTTTTTTTTTTATTTATATATGAAATTTATTGTCAAATTGGTTTCCATACAACACCCAGTGCTCATCCCAAAAGGTGCCCTCCTCAATACCCATCACCCACCCTCTCCTCCCTCCCACCCCCCATCAACCCTCAGTTTGCTCTCAGTTCTCAACAGTCTCTTATGCTTTGGCTCTCTCCCACTCTAACCTCTTTTTTTTTTTTTTTCCTTCCCCTCCCCCATGGGTTCCTGTTAAGTTTCTCAGGATCCACATAAGAGTGAAACCATATGGTATCTGTCTTTCTCTGTATGGCTTATTTCACTTAGCATCACACTCTCCAGTTCCATCCACGTTGCTACAAAAGGCCATATTTCATTTTTCCTCATTGCCACGTAGTATTCCATAGTGTATATAAACCACAATTTCTTTATCCATTCATCAGTTGATGGACATTTAGGCTCTTTCCATAATTTGGCTATTGTTGAGAGTGCTGCTATGAACATTGGGGTACAAGTGCCCCTATGCATCAGTACTCCTGTGTCCCTTGGATAAATTCCTAGCAGTGCTATTGCTGGGTCATAGGGTAAGTCTATTTTTAATGTTCTGAGGAACCTCCACACTGCTTTCCAGAGCGGCTGCACCAATTTGCATTCCCACCAACAGTGCAAGAGGGTTCCCGTTTCTCCACATCCTCTCCAGCATCTATAGTCTCCTGATTTGTTCATTTTGGCCACTCTGACTGGCGTGAGGTGATACCTGAGTGGTTTTGATTTGTATTTCCCTGATAAGGAGCGACGCTGAACATCTTTTCATGTGCCTGTTGGCCATCCGGATGTCTTCTTTAGGGAAGTGTCTATTCATGTTTTCTGCCCATTTCTTCACTGGGTTATTTGCTTTTCGGGTGTGGAGTTTGGTGAGCTCTTTATAGATTTTGGGTACTAGCCCTTTGTCCGATATGTCATTTGCAAATATCTTTTCCCATTCCGTTGGTTGCCTTTTAGTTTTGTTGGTTGTTTCCTTTGCTGTGCAGAAGCTTTTTATCTTCATAAGGTCCCAGTAATTCACTTCTGCTTTTAATTCCCTTGCCTTTGGGGATGTGTCGAGTAAGAGATTGCTACGGCTGAGGTCAGAGAGGTCTTTTCCTGCTTTCTCCTCTAAGGTTTTGATGGTTTCCTGTCTCACATTCAGGTCCTTTATCCATTTTGAGTTTATTTTTGTGAATGGTGTGAGAAAGTGGTCTAGTTTCAACCTTCTGCATGTTGCTGTCCAGTTCTCCCAGCACAATTTGTTAAAGAGACTGTCTTTTTTCCATTGGATGTTCTTTCCTGCTTTGTCAAAGATGAGTTGGCCATACGTTTGTGGGTCTAGTTCTGGGGTTTCTATTCTATTCCATTGGTCTATGTGTCTGTTTTTGTGCCAATACCATGCTGTCTTGATGATGACAGCTTTGTAGTAGAGGCTAAAGTCTGGGATTGTGATGCCTCCTGCTTTGGTCTTCTTCTTCAAAATTACTTTGGCTATTCGGGGCCTTTTGTGGTTCCATATGAATTTTAGGATTGCTTGTTCTAGTTTCGAGAAGAATGCTGGTGCAATTTTGATTGGGATTGCATTGAATGTGTAGATAGCTTTGGGTAGTATTGACATTTTGACAATATTTATTCTTCCAATCCATGAGCAGGGAATGTCTTTCCATTTCTTTAAATCTTCTGCAATTACCTTCATAAGCTTTCTATAGTTTTCAGCATACAGATCCTTTACATCTTTGGTTAGATTTATTCCTAGGTATTTTATGCTTCTTGGTGCAATTGTGAATGGGATCAGTTTCTTTATTTGTCTTTCTGTTGCTTCATTGTTAGTGTATAAGAATGCAACTGATTTCTGTACATTGATTTTGTATCCTGCAACTTTGCTGAATTCATGTATCAGTTCTAGCAGACTTTTGGTGGAGTCTATCGGATTTTCCATGTATAATATCATGTCATCTGCAAAAAGCGAAAGCTTGACTTCATCTTTGCCAATTTTGATGCCTTTGATTTCCTTTTGTTGTCTGATTGCTGATGCTAGAATTTCCAGCACTATGTTAAACAACAGCGGTGAGAGTGGGCATCCCTGTCGTGTTCCTGATCTCAGGGAAAAAGCTCTCAGTTTTTCCCCGTTGAGGATGATGTTAGCTGTGGGCTTTTCATAAATGGCTTTTATGATCTTTAAGTATGTTCCTTCTATCTCGACTTTCTCAAGGGTTTTTATTAAGAAAGGGTGCTGGATTTTGTCAAAGGCCTTTTCTGCATCGATTGACAGGATCATATGGTTTTTCTCTTTTTTTTTGTTAATGTGATGCATCACGTTGATTGATTTGCGAATGTTGAACCAGCCCTGCATCCCAGGAATGAATCCCACTTGATCATGGTGAATAATTCTTTTTATATGCCGTTGAATTCGATTTGCTAGTATCTTATTGAGAATTTTGGCATCCATATTCATCAGGGATATTGGCCTGTAGTTCTCTTTTTTTACTGGGTCTCTGTCTGGTTTAGGAATCAAAGTAATACTGGCTTCATAGAATGAGTCTGGAAGTTTTCCTTCCCTTTCTATTTCTTGGAATAGCTTGAGAAGGATAGGTATTATCTCTGCTTTAAACGTCTGATAGAACTCCCCTGGGAAGCCATCTGGTCCTGGACTCTTATTTGTTGGGAGATTTTTGATAACCGATTCAATTTCTTCGCTGGTTATGGGTCTGTTCAAGCTTTCTATTTCCTCCTGATTGAGTTTTGGAAGCGTGTGGGTGTTCAGGAATTTGTCCATTTCTTCCAGGTTGTCCAATTTGTTGGCATATAATTTTTCATAGTATTCCCTGATGATTGTTTGTATCTCTGAGGGATTGGTTGTAATAATTCCATTTTCATTCATGATTTTATCTATTTGGGTCATCTCCCGTTTCTTTTTGAGAAGCCTGGCTAGAGGTTTGTCAATTTTGTTTATTTTTTCAAAAAACCAACTCTTGGTTTCGTTGATCTGCTCTACAGTTTTTTTAGATTCTATATTGTTTATTTCTGCTCTGATCTTTATTATTTCTCTTCTTCTGCTGGGTTTAGGCTGCCTTTGCTGTTCTGCTTCTATTTCCTTTAGGTGTGCTGTTAGATTTTGTATTTGGGATTTTTCTTGTTTCTTGAGATAGGCCTGGATTGCAATGTATTTTCCTCTCAGGACTGCCTTCGCTGCGTCCCAAAGCGTTTGGATTGTTGTATTTTCATTTTCATTTGTTTCCATATATTTTTTAATTTCTTCTCTAATTGCCTGGTTGACCCACTCATTCGTTAGT